GAGCGACGAGCCGATTATTAGACGCGGGATTCGGCTCGTTCCTATTGTGTCTAATTCTAAGATCGTAAATCGTAAGGAAACATGTGCACGTGCAGCGTGAAACGTCACGCGCGAACGGTACGCACACATCATATCATCTTTTATGGTAGCCGATAATTTGCATTCCTCGCGAAACGCCGTCGTGAATGTCTCCTTCGTCGTGCGAATAACGACGTGCCGGATTGTAGATCCGCCAACGAATTCAGCGACTTTGTGAAAACTCGAACTTTGTGTGCGATAAAATATACTTGCATATAAATATAGAAATTTTTCGTGTCTTGACGCGATAAGATTCTTAATTTATGCATACAGCATAAATACGAGTTTGCTCGGATATTTATAGTTTTCACTATGATAAAAACACCCGACGCGCTTCCACTTTGCCGACCTTTATCATATCGCTGACGGGATTCTAATTTTACTTACGCGCACGGACTGCGGGACGATAAAAATTTCAATCTTCAAAAGGAGCCACGTGTTCGCGCGCTCGAAATGGAAGGAGCCCGAAGCTTCCCTCGATCGGTCGCCGCGTCAAGCTCGTAAATTGACGATAAGATTTTTTTCCCTCGAGGCAGCCGAGCCGGAAGAAGACTCCGGCTGAGGTCACCGGCGCCGCTTTTCGCATCGCTGCGACGGTAGAAAAGTGAGACGTACCGATTTCATTGCGAGCGTGAAGACGTCAACGTATCGCGCCGAGGACAGTGCCTACGAATAACGAGCCCCATCAAAGTCAACAATGACGCGCGGCACAAATTTATTGCATCTTGCCGGTGGAGGCAGACCTATAAACAGAGATCATTAAGCGCGCGCGCATACACGTCGCCCTCTCATCTCGGGGATAATTGATTTCGAACGGCACGATAGAGGAGCCGACCTCGCGTCTGTCACGTCTATCTCTTTCCTCCTGTAAATGGTACGGTAAATGCTTTTCCGAGTTATCGGCGAGTTATTGCAACCGGCGGATGAGCAGCCGCTGCAAAGTTGGCATTTTAATCTCTCGGACACCGCGAAATGAAGAATATCCATGTGATAGAGCTACTTGCGCGTAGTCATTTTAATATATGAACGCGAAGAGAAATTTGCATTCGATGTCTCTTCGACGATAGAGAGAGGAACCAAAAAAAAATTTAATCTTTCTCCGCGAGTTAGACAGATACGTGTCAGATCGAACTTTCAAGCGCAAATAGCGTTATCCGTGTCTCTCCTCCGGTGACAGTGACGGGTGTCAACGACGCGAAATAGAATTCACGTTTGTCGATGCTAAAATTCCCCTCTTGCTTTAATACCTGCCGGCAGCCACGTGTGAAGGCCTCATGAATAATATTATTGGCGTATCGATGCGAGTTCTGCCCTCTCTCCATCATACATCGGAAAGTACGAATTTAGATCAACGACGGTACCGATTCGGGATCGTCGACCTCTATCTCGCAAAGCCGTTTCACCTATAAAATGAGCGAAATGCAATTTATCCGTAAAAAAATTAGCAGCGTAAACTGCCGACATTTTATATGCGATTATAAAAATATCTTCTCTAATGAGATCTTATTAAAGTCTCATTTATAATTATAATATTCCTTTTATACGCGTATATATAGATGTAATCTTAAACTTGCAACGAAAAAGAATCATGTCGCGATACATGTTGAGTGTCCTCAGAGGCTCTCGATAAATTTTAAATCTCGCGATATTAGAATTCCGCGAAGACGAAGGCGATATCCGTGGGATCGACAGTCATGCGATTATCCGAGTGTCTCGTGTGTCTTGGAAAATAAATCGTCGAGGACCTCGAGCGACAGAGTAGCAACAACAGCCTCCGTTTTCGCGCGCTCGCGCGTATAAAGACCCATGAGACACCGTCTGTGCAAACTTTCGCGGAATGTTCTTTGTCGCTCCTTTGTGGAATCGACGATCGCTATGTGTGCGCGACGTGCCTCGTATCCCCAAGAGTGTTCGGTGTCGTACGTAGAAGCGTACGTGCGAATAGCCCGCGTCGCGCGCGAGCGCGGTGACAAGCAATTAGTACTGACAATTAGCACCGCGCGAGTTGTCTCAGCCGCGCCGCTGATCGTGCCAAGGATATAGCCGCTCGTCTATTCGCGGTTCAGGTACCTTCGAGAT